ATTTATCATCAGCTGTCTCTAATAGAAACCAGTGCAAATCACTTACTACTGACTGTGTTTATGTGCATGTGTAGAAATATATCAAAGTGAGTTTGAACTCAACAGCACTGTGCGAATGGAGACAAACATATTTCTACACCATATTTAACAGCCATACATCACTAATGCACTGGCACCATACTTCTTAAAGCATGCAGGCACTCTAAAAGAGATTCCTACCAAACAATGACTCCTGGTGGTGATGTTATCAAATGACTGAATGAACTGAACGAAAGGTAATTAGAAGTGAAAAAAAAGGGGAGAAAAAGAAGGGTGGACAGTGGGGAAAAACAAACCAGAGAGCTAATTAACTGAACTGACACATCATTAAAATTGAGTAATGATGATAACACACACGTTGACACCACAATGCAGCGAATAAATATGTAATTCCTCCTATTTAGCTTTTGTTCTTCTTCAGATATATCGTGATGGATCATAGATGATTGTAGAACTGCTGTGTCATGATAGCAGCATTATCGTGGGAAAGGAAAGAAATCTTTTTCTTCTGTGCGAACATTAAAGAAGCTACTTAATTATCTTGGCAGCACTCGACTCCTCCTGCCTTCTGGCTGATCCAGGAGCTGATGTAAACATCTCTGGACTGTCCTGTAACACCTCCCACCTGTCATTCAAAGCAGCCACATCCTTAACGATGCACAACTTTAAGCCTTTAATACAAAACTAACAGGTAAGTTATACAGAAACGAAATTAAACTAACTGACCACAAAACAACACAAACATCACAAAATGACCACAAGAAAACAATTAATCAACTGACCACAAAAAACCCACAAAATGATCACAAAATTTGCACAAAGCAACACAAAATGACGATGAAAGGAACAAAATATTCAAAAAGTGACAACAAAGAGGGAAGAAAAGAGACCCAAAGTGACCATAAGGAGACAGGAAGTGACACAAAATGAGCAGAACGAGATGCACAAACACAACTCACCTCCTGTACAGCTGTCACCAAAGGAGAGTTTACCTAAAGAGAGCAAAATGGCTTTAAACATGATTATTTCTGCTGTAAAGTTGGACACTTTAACATGGGGGTCTATGGGGATTGACTCGCTTTAGGAGGCAGCCTCTAGTGGCCAAGTGAGGAACTGCAGTTTGTGGCACTTTTCCTTGAGAACACTGCTTCATATCCAAACAGAGAAAAATGTCACACAGCAGCAAGTTGACCCGAGTAACACAGAAAACAGTCGGGTGTTTCTCCGTCCACGTTCCTCTCTTTGACTAATGTTCGTCTGCACAGCGCACTGAGAATGATGAAAGGATATCGCTCACCTGGTGCACTTCAAAAGCCTCCAACCACCTCATGGCTGCTGGATCCAAGAGAACAAAACCAGACGAGATGTACAACGTCTGACTTCAATGCCTCTCTTATCTATAGAAAACACATGATTTAGGAAGATGTATATTCCTGTTGTGACAATGACTTGGAGTTTTTGAAATGTAAAACTCTGAGAGGGAAAAGCATTTTTTTTTGTGTATTTCTGCAGTGTGTTGCTTGAATGAATATGTGTGAATCCCCCCCATCAGAGGCACACAGGAGGCTGCGATGTATCAGCTCGTGTTGTCGGTTTGCATTTTTTGGGTGTTTGTAACGAGGGCGGGTGTGTGTTTGTGTGGTAATGGCAGGTCAGGAGGACGGAGACCACAGCTGCATCATGTCATTATGACCCAGGCTGCTGTTGTTTACCGTCCGTCCGTCTATCCGCTCAGCCATCCATCTTATCTGTCGTTCCCTTTTTACATCTCGTCTGTTCACTTTTTTACCTCCTGTCTTTTTTCATCTTGCAGCCCGGTGCCTTCTGCCTGCTCTTTTAAACTTATGTGTCATCTTCGTTTTCCTCTAAACCTGCAGTTTACAACCCCTGACTTCATCTCGCCTCATCACAGTTTCTCAAACTTTTTGCTTTAAGTCCTCCATTTTCCTCTCTCCTTTTCCTTCTTCTTCTTCTAAAGTTTCCAGCCTTTTTTTTTTTCGCCCCTCTCCTCTATTTTGTTCCTGTATTTATGCTCCTCCGCCTCACACTGACATTTTAGATGCTCCGGCTTTTATCCTGCAGCTTACAAAAAGAGACATCCTCCCTCTGATTCTGATCTGCTTTTAAGCTCCACTTTGAGTCCCTGGAAAGGTAAATCAAGAACTTCTGAAGTTGCTGAAATGCTCCAAATTACAAAAGAATCTAGAAAATGTTCACTACTGCAAAATTCCAAGTTTCTTCAATAAAACGATTATTTTGTGTTGTAGCTCACTTTGATCCTACTGATAGATTTGAACCAGCCTGTAAAATCAAATCAACCAAATCAAATCAGGTTTATTGTCATTTTGCTGCACATACACAGTAGTACAGACAAGATGAGAGAGCGTTTCTTCAGGATTATTCAATCAATTTTGCAGAATGCACGTCTGGGATAAGACACCAAACGTTAGCTGTCTCCTGAAGGGGGCGCTGCCTCCATACGCGCCGCCATTCGTTGAACATGGCGAACCTCTTCAGGTCCTGGTAGGTCTTCAGGGACACAAAGACTCTCACTGTGTGCTGTATTTCTTCATTATGTAAAAGCACTTCATTCTGTTCTTAAAGGTGCTATACAAATAAAGTTCATTAGTATATTATTATTATATTTTGGGTGGAGCTAAGAAAGAACATGATGTTTCCCCAAAACAGTGATGGGAATTTGTTTTGATAGAACATTTGTACTGTCATTTAAATGGTGAGTTTGCTGAAAAACAGTAGTAGGGCTGATTTACTGCATGATCTAAATTATCTTCAAACCTTCACCTTGTTTAGTGTGGTAGGTTGCTGCCTGGAGGTTGTTGTTGTTGTTATGAAATAGTAATAATGCCAGCCTTTTTTTGCTTACAAAAGCCATAAACAATCATTCATATTGTTATTTTCCTGTGCTAATTTTATTTAATCATATTTATAGTTAATTGATGTCACTAGACATTGATGTCTAGTGCTGGAGCTGGTGGCTGAATATGCAGGGTGTTTAGGTCAAACGGCAAATGAAATGAGATCCCTAAGGGATAATTAATGCTTTCCACATCTGTGTGCGTAGTCTGATAATTACACAACGGGCAGCGCATGTGGCTCTGTTTATACCACAAAGGGTCCACGCTGGTCAGTTGCATTGCCTCTAAATTGAATGCAGACAAACACACAGGGCGATTTTTACAGGAAAAAGCAGCTGCCTACAGATTGTTGTCACTGAATATTCCTGAAATGTGTCAAGCACAGTGGGCACACGTAACACATGATTTAGAAATTCCTTTCACATTTGGGATCTGTCACTGGAAAACATGTACAAATCAAAGCACCTCCAAAATCTGGCGGGAACGACATAAATGACAACTCTTTACATGATGAATTATAAAGGTGTGGAGGTTAAGGAGGTTATTCCAGATGTCCCTCTTCTCAAAAACACTTTCCAGTTCCTCCTGGGAGGCGCGTTCCCAGGTGAGATAAGATACATAATCCCTCCAGCGAGGTCTGGGTCTACTATGGGGTCTTCTCCTAGTTGGATGTTCCCAGAAAACCCCCAAAGGAATTGACCTGAGATCAGATGTTCGAATCAACTTCTAGTGGTCTTAATGCGGCTATAATAATGGCTCTTCCAGGTGTAAATTATCAACCTGAAAACAAACTTTTAATCCGAGTCATGAACACTTTAACTGCAGGGAGCTTTCACTATTTGTAGAGCTGTTGCTCTCAATGACAATATACGGCGTGCCTGAATTTAAGGTACTTTTATGTTGAAGTATCCTGTAACATGAGTTCATCACCCCCCCTACTACAGTATTAACAATCAGCCTGTATTTTCTTTCCAGTGTGATCTTTAGTATTGATTTGTCACATTCTGCGCAGAGTGATTTCAGGGACTGCAGTGTGCGCAGGCCTGCTGGGCCGTCAGAAAACCCTGTGTTCAAATATAGTTTTGGACAGGACGGGCGCCATCAATTACACTAATGCCGCTGAGCTAAAGTTGGTTCCCTTCCTATTCAGCCCACTGTGTGTTCAGCCAATGGCATCTGGCACATTACACACCCAGCTGTGTGTGTGTGTGTGTGTGTGTGTGTGCTCAGACTTTCAGCCTGTATGCTTAGGCAGTAAACCTAGATGCCTCATTAACTCATATACCGTCTTATTGGCTCAGCATGTAACGGCCTAGGTGTGTGTGTGTGGATGTGACACAGATGTGAATACAGATCATGGCTGGTTTTGTAGGGTCATAAACTGTTTGTTATGACTTTTACACACAAATTAATTTTATTTCATTGTCCAGTCCTGCATCATAAAGTGGCTTCATAACACCAGAAGGGTATTTTGATGTGTCCACAGCACGGGTCTCTGCTCAGCTCCACTGATGGCGGAGAACTGGTACAGCTTTTGTAAAGGCACAACTGAATGACGCTGGTTTGATAAGCTACAAGGGTTCTCACTTTTGCATTTAGCTTTTTTATTGTCTGACAATTCTGTTTTAGCTTTTTATGTGTTTCAGTGCAGCAGAAGACCATCTTTGAACACCTTGAAGCAGATGGGCTGCAGCAGCAGAGGACCACTTTGGATGCCACCACCGTCAGCTAAGAACAGGAAACTGCAGCTGCAACTCACATGGGTTCATCAACACTGGAGAATAGAAGATTGGAAAAACGTTGTCTTGTGAGTTTTGATATCTGCTGCAACATTCAGATGGTCAGAATTTGGTGTAAACAACATGAAAGCATGGACGCCACAGCCTACCTCAGTATTGTTGCTGCTCAAATCCATCCCTGTATGACCACAGTGTACCCGTCTTCACATCGTCACGAATCTCAAATCATCTCAGACTGGTTTCTTGAACATGACAGTAAGTTCACTGTACTCCAAAGGACTCCACAGTCAAGGGATCTCAGTCCAGCAGAGCATTTTGGGATGTGGTGGAACGAGAGATTCGCATGGATGTGCAGCCGACAAATCTGTTGTGATGCTTTTACGTCCATATGGACCAAAATCTCTGAGGAATGTTCTCGGTCCCTCGTTTTGATTGCTGGTTGTATTTGTTGGAACTGGAGTGAACAGACTAGGACTTTAATTTAACATGAGACTCGGAAGATGGAGTCATTGCAACTTCCACAGCAGAAAAATTAAGCCAAAAACTGCAGTTCCTTAAATGGCCACTGGAGGCTGCCTCCAAAACGAATCAATCCCCATAGACGTCCATGCAAAAATAAGCAGCTTTACAGTAGGAATAAACATATTTGCAGCCTGGTACAAACAACGGTTATGGTCTCTGTAGCTAATGCCCCCAATCATGACAACTCTACAAGACGTGAATTTTTAAGAAAATCAACGGTCTAAATTGTATTAATGCTTAAAGAGCTGCATGATTAAGGGTCCGGCTGTTTGAGGAAACTCCTGCTCCACCTCTTTTCCTCATTTTTTTAAGATGAGCTGGGAGTTAGGAAGAGTCAGGCATTTCCAAGATAACAACAGCAACCAAACTGAGCTTCAAAACCAGAAACCTAACGGTGACATCACAAACAGTTTGTCCATCTTTATGTAATCTATTGAGTGAAACGTCTTCTTTTGTCAGCTTCAGAAGTCACATTCCTCCAAACATTTTTGCATATGGTCACATTCAGAAAGCTACAGATGTTGTATTAGTGTGACAGATACGTATACTAGTACACATGTAGCTATAAAATGTGCATATAACCACTGGATCAGACTCAGTACTGGAGATACTCAGTGATAAAGGACTCCAAATGGGATTGGGACCAAAAAAAACCCTCATAACAGTCTACATTATGGGACCAGTGCACACTATTATTGATTTCCGGTTGAACATATAATGTATTCTACCTGCTATCGTAAAATACATTAGCTGACTACTGTTATCAGTGTGACTGATAGCAGCTCTTTTAATGGAATCACTCAGAAATAAAAAATAAAAAAAAACGAAACCAT